CTGCGTCATGGCGAGCTCATCCTTCCTCTCCTCGCGACCCACCAGCCAGCCGGAGCCATTACAGAACACAATTACTTCTGCATGTGGAGTCATGGTAATTCAAAATAGAACGCTGAGAAATTGTTTCTACTGTTTGCCACAACGAAGGTGATTTCTCTGCGGGTGGCCCCGTTTCCTTCAGATCCCGCACAGTAAATTTCACATCACGTATTTATTGCAAACACCGGTTATAAAGTTTTAGAAATATTTCCATTTGTAAACTGTATTATTATGAACAAAATGAGAGATTAAAAAATCCCCACCAAACTCTAATGGTATTGCAATCAATTCTTTTACAGGTTCCCAAAATCTAAATTTTCCTTAAGTTACTGTGATATGGTTTCATCATAAACTATGACTGCTTTTCTATAAGAAGGAACCTCTTAACATCCTAACTCTCTTGTTCGCCATCATAGCTAGTTCTCAGTAAATGAAATAATTAACTACAAATTTCTGTTTCCGCAGGTGGCTCTTCTGCAAAGTAAAGATGGTCTGTTTAAATAATAATAATAACAACAACAACAACAAAAATAGACCAAATGTAATATTCCCAATCAATGTTATTAAAGCCTTGAACCAAAGTAGAGACATCCACAGCTTTACATGAAAGTTTGTGTACCTAACAATCTATTCTGGTTATCTATCTATTCCATTTCAAAGACTTTCTTAAAAACATCATATTTATATTTCTTCCTACTCCCATAGCTTGATAAAATTACCTCAGAAACTGTTGTAGGTGCCAAGATACGAATTGCTATACTAACACAACTACCAGGAGTGAGTATTTTCAGCCTCAAGTCCCCAGACAGGCTTCCCAATCCAGACAGAAGCATCTAAACACGGAAAGAGTATTAAGACGTGCTCAGCAACCAACGTTTTCTACTTAGTCTTTGAAATCAAGAAACACACTAAAACACACAAGATTCTTTTAGTAGGTATCAAAATGAGAACTCGGAGCCAGACCTGGAGCACGCAGATCTGATAATGTAACAGTTTCCTATTTTTTTAGGTGCCGGGGGGAAATCGCTCAACATCTTCTTTGGGAAAAAGGGGTTAGAAATGCTCCTGACTTTGTCAGTCCACTGAGGGTATATCTAAAACCAATGCACTGGTTTTGTCAGCTTGTGAGATGGTCAAAAATAATTGATTTTTGAAATTTGAAAGCTGAAAATGTTGCAACTAGAAAACCAAAATGTTTGATTTCTGAAACAAACTGTTCCTGCCTGTCTTGTGGGTCAGAGCTCCAGGGCATCCTTCCCTGCTACAGGCCAGCCAGGCCGTGTCCATCATCAAAACACACAGTCAGCTCCTTGTCTGGAAGGAAAATTGTGCATGAGAACAAATTCTGGTCCGAATGCATCATGGAAGAAAAAAAATCCGTCAGACCTGGCCTGTGGAAGGCCACA